CTGTGGGTTATTGCTTGTTGCCGTGAAGACAAATTTAATACTAAAACCTCAAGAATTTGTTTAAAAACCGTTTAAAAAACTGTATTTTAGGAAGGAATGAAGGTCCTTTATCTGAAGCTGGCAGCATAGAACCTAATGAGGTCATGGATGGACCAATCGGTAATTTAGAAGTTTTATTAAGCAAAACATATTTTTCAGATTCATCTGGCAAAGCAGAAGAAGAAGATGTGGATACAGACATAGAAGAATTAAACCAATTACAGTATAATACATATGAGTGGTTATATATGAAACAAATTTGATCTGCCTGAAACTACGGATACTTCCACTTTTACATGGATTGATTAAGTATCCGAAGGCGGCCAAAAAAAGGAAAACCTGAACGGTTGTCAACGGAACTAGAATAGAAAGTTCTCAAGAAAAAACAAGCATATCACATATGGCTTCAATCTAAAGATCCTCAAGACAGAGAAATATACGCCAAATGGAATAGAGAAGTTAAAAAAGAAGTGGATAAGGCGAAAAATGTAAACTGGGAGGCTAAGTGGGATGAACTGGACAGATTTATGGGTGGAACAAAAGTGGCACAAGCAGTTTAGGAAAAATTGAGAAAAATGAAGACAACATTCCTCTCATAAAGTTAAATGAATGGGAAGAATATTAATTAACAGAGACGAAAGACAGGAAATCCCTATAATAACATTATCTGAATTGACGAAAACCGTAAAAGAGGTTAAAAACAGAAAAGCCGCAGGGTCTGGAGACATTCCCATAGAGCTGGTTAAATATGGGCCGACTGCACTTCTAGAATTAATAGTAGATCTTTTTAATCAATGTATGTGTGGAGACCAGGAAATTCCTAAAGATTGGAATAAATCTTATATAAGCTCCATATATAAGAGAGCGAATAAAAGAGTCTGTTCCAATTATAGAGGTATTCGTGTGACGAGCTCTGTGGGCCGGTTGTCGGCAGAATATTAAAGAAGAGGGTTGAAAGGCAGATACAAGATGTTGAAGAACAAAGCGGCTTTCGTACCGGGAGATCCTGTCTTGATAATATATTTATCCTACGACAAATAATTGAAAAGCGTGTCGAAAGAAGTAGAGAGACCCATTTGGTATTTATAGACCTTGAGAAAGCATATGATAGTGTCCCGTTAAAGAAAATGTTTGAGGTCTTCGAAAGGTCCGGATTGTATTCGACGTAGATCCGAGCGATATATAAATTGTACGAAAATGCAGTTAGTTGTGTAAAAATTGGAACCAGAACTTTAAATGAATTTAAAGTCACTAAAGGCCTAAAGCAAGGATGCTGTTTGTCACCGACACTCTTTAAAATATACGTCCAAGAAGCATTGAGGAATTGGAGAAATAAATGTAGATTTATGGGCATCGAAGTGGGAAAAGAAACTCTATATACATTGTTGTTTGCAGATGATCAGGTGGTGGTTGCAACCGATGAGGAAGATATAAATTATATGAATCGAAAATTATTTGAGGAATATGCCAAATGGGGGCTTACTGTAAACATAAGCAAAACAGAATATTTAAAAATTGGAGGAAATACCACAGATCTGAGGCTTGAAAACGCAGTCATAAAAGGTTGCAACCAGTATAAATATCTAGGAAGCATCATATCAGCAGATGGCAGAGTTAAGATAGATGTACAAAACCGAATAACCCAAGGGAAAAAATGCATCCGAATACTGAATTCATTACTGTGGTCTAATAAAATAAAGATGCATACCAAACTTCGTGTATACAGAGCAATTGTAGAACCGATTACCACATATGGTGCCGAATGTTGGACGATGACAAAGAATGAACGAGATAAAGTAGACGTTGTGGAAATGGATTATCTTAGAAGGTCATGTCGAGTATCGAGAATGGAAAGAACCAGGAATGAGGAAATACGAAACCGTACAGGAATTAGAGATACTCTTTCAGATAGAATACAAGGAAGGCAATTACAATGGTATGGTCACGTGATGAGAATGGAGGAGGAGCGGTGGCCAAAGAAAGCCTTAATGTATGTTCCACCAGAAAGAAGGAAAAGGGGAAGACCACCAAATTCCTGGAGAAGAGAAATTACAAAAACAATGCAATCTAGAGGCAGAGAAGAGGGAGATTGGAGAGATAGGAAAAGATGGAGGCTGAAATGCGGGAAGCGGCAATCGCCGTAGGACCCCGTTATATGATGATGAAAATTATTATTTAAATATAAATTAATAACGATGTGACGTTTATAACGTTACAACATCTTCAACGAATGCCGAACTGCAAAGATTTTTAATGGAAAAAGATTTATATTTCAAAGATTTTTATCGTATCACGAGTATTGATACGAAAAATATTTCATATTTTTCTTCCAACCACATGAAAAAAACAGTAACGAAAGGGTTAGTATAATGTTGTTTTACTTTACCTGTTTACCTACTACAAAAAAGCTAATACGGATCTGTTTTTATAGCCAGAACATGAATAACCTAAGTAATTGTTGATTGTAACAAACAACTGGGAAGCATGGTACTTATATAACTGTTTTTATGGTTTATATTTTTAGATGCGTCCCATCATCGTATATTATTATAATTAGAAGACGCATACTATTTTTTACAGTTAGGTTCGTGCATGATGATTGATGTAGTAGAATCTATCTAACGATATCCTAAATTATTGTATACGTTAAATATTGTTGTCTAAATTTTAACAAACGATAGGAAGCAATATAAACTGGGTTTCCGTAAAAAAACCGTCAAGATTTGATAAAAATATGGTAAATAGTTTAGATAACTTCTAAGAGGTTTGATTAATAAATTATTTTCTGCGTTTACTAAGTGGAATTCCTAAAACGCCGCAGTTGCATGAAAACATCATTGTGTGCAAATATTTTGCAATTTTTAGCCTACTTCCGTGTTGTTTACCATCTGTTCTAGATAAAGCTTGATAAGTAATCAGATTGTTTTTTTAAATCTTCGATCTACTATTTTTTACATTTAATATAAAAAATAGATCCATAACAATGCATGTATTATATTAAAGAACTTTACAATAGAGGCAGTATTAGGCCTACAGAAGCAGCTAGGTAGACGAAGAAAGTGATGATGATGACAATATGAAAATCACAAAAGAAATCATAACTGAAAACATAAAATTGTTCTGAAGCTATTTTCTTGTGGCATTGTAAATTAATTACTATTAAACTGGGAATAAGCCACAATTAAAGATAAAAATACGTTTTATTGACGTTTCCAAGAGACAAGACCAAGACTGTCTAAGTCTTGTCTTGTTCTTGCATTTGGGCAACACTAGATCTGGTCCCCCGTACCTCCTTACCTTAGGAGTTCGGTATTATGTCCTCTCCTGGTGTCTTTCTATGTTATAATTTCCTTAATGCTTCAACAGAAAGAACTTGTAGAGGAAAATTTAATTTAATGACATAAAGAAGATGCGCTGATTAAGTCAATAAGCCATAAGCCATAAGGCCAAGATACGTAAAAATACGCCCAATACTCCATTCTTTGGTTCCATACAACTAATATCACTTTTGGTATGCCCAATATTTCATACCAATGAAATTGAACTAAGAATTGTGATTCCTCCATAGCTTTTATAGCTATATCATTCAAGTTTAAACAAAAATACTAACAAATATAAGTTGAAGCGGATAAAATACAGGAAAATCTGTGTTTATCTTAGTAAATTGTTTCGTTTATAAATAATATGAACAGATAAGCTCTCCGATAGGCGCACTGCTCTATATTAGTTCTTCGCAAATTTTAAACAGCAAACACAAAAACAACAATAATAAACAACTTTCAGAACATGTTCCAATAAAACAGCAGATCAAAGTGCACAGTACTCGTCAAAAGTGTCGCTCGATTAATTGAGGTTATGCCCTGAACAGATATTTATCATATTAATGACATACTTTATATTGAATATTCCCAGAGATTACGTGATCAAAATCCGAACTTGATTTAAACAAATAAAAAGTCCAAGTTGTAAGATAAAATATTTTATTAAAACAATAAATTTTGCTAATGTGGGGAAGGGGGTGATACGGGACTAAAAATTATTTAATGTTGGTACGCTGGACGTTTTTCCAAGTTCTTTCATGGTTATACACTGCTCCGCAAAATTAATCGGACTCACATTTTTTTTACCTTCAATGTAAACATTTTTCAAAAAAAATTAAATTCAATAAATTTTTTATTGTATGTTCAATAACAACCCTTAAAATAAAAAATAATTTAGAAAATATTGATTAGTTTAATAACAAATAAATATTATACAAGTTTTTTTATTCTGGTGTAAGATATTTTTCAAATCAAAATCATAAAAAAAATTCTGAAATATGGATATTAAAATCGAGTATTTCATCCTCGAGCACCAATAACAGCTCTCATCCTTTTTGGCATAGATCGAATCAGCAATTTTGTTTGCCTAACTACTCTTCCCGAGTTGCTCAACAAATTATATGTAATTAAGATCTGGACTTCTAGAAGGTCAGGCTAATACCCGAATACCAACATCTGTAAAGTTTTACTTGGTTACCCTGGCTGCGGGCAGCCTAGCATTATCCTGCATTAGGAGAAAATTGTGGCAGACAAACAGTGGATTAGATTGGCGCAATATAGAGGAAGATGGAAGCAATTGGGAGAGACCTACATTCAGGAGTGGATGGAGCATGGTTAACAAAGAGAAGAGTCATATTTACCTCTTCTCCCTATATAAAATATTTTTTAACTAATTTATTTTAACTTTTTTTCTTGTTTTTGTCTTGCTAGTATTAGTCTTTTTATCTTTTATTTTCTCCGTTAGTGAAACTTGATTTGATGCTGCTAATCGTCTCTATCTTTTACGTCCTAACCGGTTGTCTTAATTATGATGGTAATAACCAGATAACTTCTCTTACTTTATTTATTGTCTGAAATTATTATATTTGACGCCACTGGAAGGAAACCTTGTACAATTTGTCAATGTCAAATTTAAAATATGACATTTTAAAAATCATCAAAAATCATGTTCAAATTTTCAAATTACTTTTTCTTCAAGCGTGACTCTAGCATTTCCTCAAAAGGAGACACAATAAATTCTCCAAAACTGGCTTTGGTGAAACAAATGATAAAAAGTGACAAAATCGTAATATTTTCAAAATCGTATTGTATATACTGCAAGATGGTCAAAGAACTGTTCGACAAATGTGATGCACAATACACCGAATACGTTTTAGATAGTAGAGAAGACGGAGAAGAAATTCAGAAAATATTGGGGGATCTTACCGGAGCCAGTACTGTGCCGAGAGTTTTTGTAAATGAGAAATGTTTAGGTGGAAGAGCTGAATGTAAACATTTATATGATTCCGGAAAACTAAAAAAACTGTTGATTTTCTAGATATGCAAATAATTCAGGTCCCTGTAATAAATTTTTAACATATTTATTGTAGTTATTAATTGAAAGTTCAAGTTAAAAGTGTTATATCGATTTTGTGTAATCAGAATACGACTTGGTGATAGATCAGTTATAATAGAGATATTTCAAGGAAACAATCCTCGAAATATGTTGGGAATGTATCTGAAGTTGTGGTACCTATTGGTTGAAAAGACATAATTAAAGCAAAAATAGTGTAGACATGTTCTTCAATAGAAGAAATTTAGAAGGACAAAACCAGAACATATCAGATTTTCATGTAATATGAAATTACAAGTACAAATAATGTGGTAATTTGAGATAGTAATAGCTATTATAATAAAAATGTCTTGTTCGCGAGTTATTGTGGTCCGAGATACTGGAATTCTCTTACACGTTCAAAATTGTATATGCCCATAGTTATATTTTGCTTATTCTGACTGAATCTGTTTAAGATACATGTATATAGTTTTTTTTATTGAGTTTAGTTCTACATTTTTGTTTCTTTTTCATTTTCTAAAAATATCCTTTGTTTTGGTGATATTACTCTTACAGCATCTATATCGTTTGCTTCTTCTTCTTTACGTGCCATATCAGCGACGGAGATTGGCAATCATCATGGCTATTCTGATCTTAGATGATGCCGCTCTGAATAATTTGATTTATGTGCATCCGTACCATTCCCTTAACTAACGCAACCATGAAATTCTTCACCTTTCTACACTTCTCTTATCCTGGATTTTCCCTTGTATAATTAATTAAAGTATGTTGTATCTTTTATTACGCATAACATGCCCGAGGTATTGCAGCTTTCGTATCGTGATGATTGCCAATATTTCCATTCTTTTGTTGACTCTTCTCATGACTTCGTTGTTTGTTACATGCTCGGTCCATGATATCCCTAATTCGTGTATCTCGGACTGCCTTTTCTAAGGCAATATTAAATAGGAGGCAAGCCAGAGCATCTCCTTGTCTGAGTCCATCCTTTATCTCAAAGGATCTAAAACTCTCTCCCTGTATTCTAACAGTGGCTTCTAAGTTAGACATTGTCATTCTCGTTAGTCGGATAAGTTTCTCTGGTATACCAAACTCATGCATTGATTGGTATAGCACTGTTCTCTTGACACTGTCGTATGCGGCCTTGAAGTCGACGAATAGGTGATGGGTTTCAATATTGAATTCTAATGTTTTCTCGAGAATCTGTCTTATTGAATGAATCTGGTCAATTGTTGATTTTTCTGGAGTGAATCCAACTTGATATTTACCAATTATGCCCACTGTGTAAACTTGCAACCTTTCGTAGAGAATATTTGCTATTGTAAGCAGTTGTTAACAGGGTTATACCTCTACAGTTGTCACACTGGAGCTGATCACCTTTTTTATGTAACGGGAATATCACGCCTTGAGACCATTCACAAGGCATGGTCTCATTATGCCAAACAAGAAGTAAAAGCTTATGCAGTGTCTGTAGTAGGGCATCGCCACCATTCTTGTAGAGCTCACTGCAAATTTGATCAACTCCTAGTGATTTATTATTTTTAAGCTTTTTAATGGCTTGGGCAACGTTTTCGATGGTAGGTGGTCTTTCGTTTGGGTTGAAAGGATTCCAATCATTTCGATTTGCTAGGGTGTTATCTGCTTCTTCGATATGATGGCCATTAAATTTTGCATCGAAAAATTCAACCCATCTGTTTAGGATTGAGGCTGTATCATTTAGGATGTTTCCTTCTACATCCTTATAGCTCCTTATTCTTGGCTTAAACTCTTTGCGCATTTTGTTTAGATTTCTGTAGAACTTTCGAGTTTCATTTTGATTTCTTAGCCATTCTGTGCTTTCCAACTGCTTTTGCTCAAATTGTCTTTTTTTTTCTTCTATGTAATCGTTTTTCTTCTCTTCTTAGTGTCCGGTATTCTTCCTTTGCTCTTCTTGTGCATCCAGCTTGATTTGTCTTTAGGTATGCCCTGTTTTTGTTATCTGTTGCTTCTTGGCACTCCTTGTCAAAAAATTCTTTTCTTTAACTGGTTTGGTTTTCCCCAATATTTTTGTTGCTTTCTCAGTTATTATGTTTTTACATTTTGTCCACAGTTCCTCTACATTTTCCCCCACCTCCAAGCTCTCCATTTCCTCGTCCATTTGTCTCCTATACTCACTCGCAACGGTTTCAATGCGCAGTTTATCAACATTAATTCTGTCTTGTTTCGTGTGTTTATCTTTCTTTAGGTTTGATTATTTACAATAGATCGATACAAGTCTTAGCATATGCTGATGACATTGACATAGTAGGGCGTAGCAAGCGAGATGTTGAGCAATATCTTCTAGAATTGGAAACAGCGGCGAAACAGGTCGGTCTAGTCATCAACGAAGACAAAACCAAGTGCATGTTGGTTACAAAGGATCCGATAGCAAATGAGGAACGAGAAACAGTCTTTGGAAGTCATACCTTTGGACGTGTTGACAACTTCACATACCTTGGGTCGCTATTGACTGCTACCAATAAAACAAGCGAAGAAATCAAAAGACGAATAAATCTTACAAATAGGGCATACTATGGACTCCAAAAGTATTTCCACTCAAGAAACATTCAAAGAAAAACTAAAATTATTATATACAAAACATTGCTGAGGCCGGTCCTCACAGATGGAGTAGAAACATGGACTCTAACGCAGAAAGATGAAATACTTTTGGGAATATTTGAGCGTAAAATACTCCGCAAAATATTTGGAGCTGTAAACGACCAAGGGCAGTGGCGCAGAAGATATAATTTTGAATTGTATCAGCTCTTTGATGAGCCAGATGTCATAACGTTCATTAAAACACAGCGACTTAGATGGACTGGACACATAATACGAATGCCAGAAAATACCATTGCTAAAAAGCTAACCACAAGAACACCTGTAGGAAAAAGAAGCAAAGGCCGACCGCGAATTAGGTGGTTAGATGGAGTAGAAACCGACTTACGAATATTAAAAATCAGAAGATGGCAACATGTTGCCAAAAATCGAACAGAATAGCGACGAATCTTGGAGCAGGCCAAGATCCACAGAGGATTGTCGAGCCAAAGATGATGATGATGACGGTCCATGATATCTTCAGGATGCTTCTATACACCCACAATTCAAATGCTCTCAACATTTTAGTACTCGTCGCGTTAAGTGTCCTTGCTTCTATCCGTAAAGCAGAGTCCAGAAAATATAACACCTTGCCAGTCTAACTCTCAAGTCTAATTTCAGTTCTCTTGCATAAAGTACCTTTCTCATTTTATTGAAGTTTGTTCCTGCTGTCTCTATTCCAACTTAGATTTCTTTGGAGTAATCGCATCCAAGCATCTCTGAATTAGTACATTGAATGCAAAGGGAGCTTCACGGGTACCTACGCCTCTACGGAATCTAAATTGGGTTTCTTCAATATCCATATTAAGTATTTGGTAAATGCGTTTATCGATGATCTTCAAAAACAAAGAGTGTGAGACAATCAGGCTCTAGCATTTTTCGTTTTTGGGAGACAAATAAATATGTTGACGTCGACCATTCATTGGGTATGTCACCTGAATGATAAATTTCATTAAAGAGCTTTAAGAGGACATCCATGTACTCGTTTTCTATTATTTTAAGGATATCAATAAGCAGTTGATCTGGCCCTTTTCCGTTTCTGGTGTTCTTTAGTGTGTACAATATTTCTTCCTTTGTAATTTCTATACTTGTTTATCTGTTCTCGAAAGATATGTCTTGTAGGTTTCCTCTTTCGTCGTCGAAGATCTTTTCCATATATTGTTTCCATCGTTTTAGCTTTTCGTCAGTCGTTATCATAGTATCGTTTGCTTACCCAGAATTATCCGGGAATCCTATTCTAAGAACTTTCAGCTGTATGGTAGCTTCTTTTGGTCATATTTAACAATATGTGGAAAAGTAACAGAAAACGTTTCCATGGTATGTACCTCAACTTCAACCTTAACCAGTGAATTCTTGATACATATTTCACATATTTCATCCTATTTTTTCCATGGTTATCCACACATTATTCCTTGCGATGCTATTATATGCTTTTCGGAAATCTATAAACAGCTAGTGTACAACTTGATTGAATTTCCAAGTCTTTTTTAACCGTAACTGTTATATTATATTATCATATTCAGAAAAGAACAGATCAGAAAACTGTTTTTTAATAGTAAAAGTCTATCTCGATCGAAAACCTCATTGCTACTGTTCGATGTTCTTTTCTGAATATGGGGTTATTTTACTTCCAAATATATTTTACAGCCCTTGTAAAAAAAGGACACTTTTATTGTGTATGTTTCGCCAATGTGGATAAATGAAAAGTACGATGGTTCCATAAAATTTGCCCCCGTAACAATATACCTTCTGCATACCAACGCGATTTACGAGCGAATAGTTGAACAACTTCGTTGAATACTTTGAAACATCGGTAAACTTACCAACACTTCGCTGGTCTATATATTTACGTCCTTGGAAAGAGTGGAACGCTATTCTAGCTGTGTGTCCTACCCACCTCCATTTTAGTCTGGCTATCCTTTCGATGACGTCAGTCATCTTGGTTCTGCTCCTGACCTCTTTGTATTTTATTTTGTCTCATAGAGTTGTTCCTAACATGGATAGCTCCAATCTTCTCAGTGTGATTCTTAGTTTGGTAGCCGAGGCTTTTGATAAAGTAAGTGATTCTGCTCCGTAGCTCAACACTGGGAGGACGCATTGATCAAATACTTTTCTCTTCATGCTTGTGGGCAGCTCACTTTTAAAAGCTTCTCTCAGTTTTCCATATGCTGAACACCCAAGACCGATTCTTTTTCTCAGTTCTTGGCCCTGATTATTCCTGCCAATCATAATTTGGGGAAAAACCTATGAAAATATATATAACTGTTAGATATAACGGACTGTTGTATTCTCAACGAAAATAGACTAATTTTATATTTAGTACAATATCATTTCTATTTCATATATAAATGCATTGGCATGTCCTTGAGAAACACAGTAATAAGACATTTTTTTTTATGTTTTTTGTTGTTATATAACG